AGATGAGGGTTGAGAAGGTAGAATTCTTCTATGATCCAAGCCAATTGCTCTTAGGATTTCTTAAAGGACCACTGACAGAAAGCTCAGTGAGCATTACATCTGCAAGTTGCCCTTTTTTGAGTGCAGGAGGAACACATTAATATTATCTGCTACCCAAATCTATTTTGCAAGCTCTTTCGTCATTTGAACTGATTCAAGAATAATTTTCATTTCGTCAATAATATGATATGTTATCAGAGGATGTGATGAAGCATGGGAGTCCTTTTGGAAGACAAGTTATTGAATAGTTAATTATTTTCATTATTCTGTTGTAATGAATTATGGCTTGTGTTTCTGTATTATCAGGGTTATGTTGTTTCCATTATTTATCTTTGTGATGTTTGCTATGAGTTCATAACAACTTTGTTATTTGGACAAAATTATTATTATCTAAATATTTACACGGTTAAAGTTGTTTTAGGTAAACGTACTCATGGATATTATTGGAAATCATTAAGTATGGATAATAATTGAGTGAAAACTCTTTAATTTCCTATCTAACATTGTTGCGGGCTAGAATATTCGTGATGGTAAAGTATATAATTTCACGTTTTAGAATTACATGACTATTCAGCTCACGAAAGAGAGTAGATTCACAATAATTTTTATGTGAAAAATTCTGAAAGAAAAATCCACGGGGCCATGCCTAGTTGAAATGAATTCACTAGCATTTGAATATATTACAAATGATTGATTCGTCATTGAACTCAAAGACAGCCATATTATAATAGTCAACTGTAGGGTAGAAATCTAGTGACAAACATGGATTGAACGAAAGTTTGGCAATGGTTGGTGCCCGAGCGTAAATCCAGCATTATTTGGTGGCCGAACAGAAGTCCGATGACAGTTAGTGGCTGGGCATAAGTCCGACGGCAGTTGGTGGATGGGCAAAAGTTCGACGACAATTGAAGGTAGGGCAGTTGTCGAGGAGTCTAATGGTAAGAGAACTCTAATTTCTCTTATTTTCCTCTCTTCCCTCTCTAAATTGCTTGGTCCCCCCTCAGTGAATAATGAATAGTCTATTTATAATTTTCTAGGAGTGGCATGACCATCAAATAGAGAGAATATCAAGGGCATGCTTAAAATGTTATAATTGGAAGACCGATATTGATTCTCTTGGTCATAGGCTGTTTAATGAGTATTTGAGTATCTTAATGGTATCATAATTTGGCGATATTAGGCTTGTTGGAGTTGTCTCGTCAAGGTGCTCAATTCAACTAGAAGCATGTCACATTTGAAAATCATTTGATCATCTAATTTATAATTTGAACTTTCCGAATGCGCTTCGGGTCCTTGATTTGGACTCATTTGGGCTCGGATTTGGTCGAATTAGGTGTCGTTGGGTCTGTCTGTTCGAGACATTCAATTCAACTATATGTTTGATGAAATCAAAGTTTGCAAGAACTCGAATTTAATTTTGAAAATTTCTAGTTCAAATTTTCCTTGAGATTTTATTCTTGTTTTTTCAAATCTACGTTGGGAGAGCAAGAAACAATCTTGATTTTCTTAAGCTATTTTTCAAAAAAAAAAAAAAAGAAAAAAGAAAAAACCACCTCGACATGGAAAAGAAATAAAAATAATCATAAGGTCATTTCAAGTTGAATTAGAAATTGAGTATCGTATACAAAATGATGATCAAACAATTAGACAAGTTTCTTGCTCTCTTCGCATCAAAATCTTAATCTTTTGTATAAATCAACGAAATATAGATTTCTTATGTCAAATAGAATTTTCTTTTAACTTAAAACTCAAATGTAAATCAGAACAACCTTAAAGTAAATTCTTTATGGCAAAATAACCTTTTATTCAATTCTTAATACCTATCGCATTCGTATCAAAGACCAATATTTCATTACCAACCCAAGCCTTCAACCTTCGGCTTTCCCTTCCCAATTATCCGCCCGTAGCTGCTTACGCTCTGTTGTGCCTGGAGAGTGGGAACTTTTATTTGGTCCGGTGCAAGGACCTAGAGGAAGGTTCGGTTTTGCCTAAAAAAGTGCAAATACCGAGTTTTTTGAAAAAATACCGAGTTTTTCAAAAAACTCGGTATTTGCACTTTTTGACCTATTTTTGCTAAAACCGAACCTTCCTCTACATCCAGTGAAAGGACCTAATAATTACATTTTCCAAAAAAAAAATACATAATACAATAGTTTATATATATATATATATATATATATATATCAGATGATACTTGACTTTACTAGCAGATAAGTTGGATGAACTGGGAACTTATTATTGAGAATGGAAAGTACAGAGAATAGAGAAAGTTGAAAAGATGTGAGTAAGCTGACAAAATCTCCACTATTTCAAAAAAATATAGGAAATAGAGCTTCAGAGGATCAAAAGATCATAACGTCAAAGGTCTGAAGTGTCCTGTACAATTCCTCGTCAACATTTATTTATAGGGCTTTGATAGCTATATGAAAGGCTATAAAGAGAAAAGTAAAAATACTTGTTACCCATAATACATGTACAACACTACTCACTAATCTAGGATATGTGTCACCTTCTGATTGACTATAGGAAAGTGAAGTCAACATTCAAGTGACTTGTCTTTTATTAGGAAGGCTTAGGAGGGGCGAATATGCCAGTGAGTCCCGAGAGGAGATGGACCCTTAGCTAGTAAGTCGTCTAATAAGGTCGGTCATGAATGGACGAAGCTCAAGATCTCCTAGTCGGGAAAGCTGAGCAATGGTGTTTATGGGGTTGAAGAGTCCTTGAACCTGGTAGAGGTACCCTAATATTGTGTGAAGTCACATAGGTTGGCACTTTCCTATAACCGAGTCTACTAAGCCAGGAGGAAGAGGATATGATTGAGATGAGTGATGATATGTTTGCTTAGTGAGAAATGGTGTGTATTGTGATTTCACAACTCTAAGGGTGTGTTTGAGATGGCTGCAGCTGTCAGTAAAGCAGGCTATAAAATTGTTGTACAAAAAGTTGCTTTCTGAAATTGTTGTACAGAAAGCAGTATATTTTGTTTGGGAAGTATAACTGTCAAGTTGCTGTGCTGCAGTTGTATTGGAATAAATTACATTTATACCCTTATATATTGAGATAAGAAAAAAAGAAAATGTCAAAATTTTTGAAAAAACTTATATGCTAACAAACTAAGAATTCTAAATTAAAAATTGTAGCATCTTTTATGAAATATTTTATAACTTTAAAATATCATAATATATATATTTTTTATGATTTACTATCATATTTTAAAATAATCTGAAAAAATTATTTGCTATTACTTCATACTAAATAATTTTTTTTAATAATAATATAAATGATACATATTTAAAATTTAATTAAAATTTTAAAAAATGTAATTACATATCATGACTAAACTATATATTTATATTTCTCTAAATTACAATTAAACTCGTGAACTGAAAGCATCTTTTCTCCAATTATAACTCTAGAAGTACTACTCAACCAAATTTCTTCTCAACTTCTCGACAAAGGACCTCACATGGCAGCCTCAAGCTCGACCATGAAGATAACCTGCATTAAAGAAGTCTTGAGAAACAGAGAGAAGGAAAAGGGTTTTGGGATTCGTATTCCTTCAATGTGTTCAATACAGTGAAAAGGCTTGATATAGAGAAGCTAGGGAACATTGGCTGCCGAAGGCTGCCAAGACTGGTACAGCCCAGTCTGACCAAAACAGAGAAGGTGCTACCTTAACCAAACATGATTGGTAGAGTTGTATAACTAAAGTGTTCTTGCAGTGTATTCTAACAGTCCCCCTCAAACTTATCATTTGAGGAGCAAATGGTTAGTTTGTCTCTTAAAAAAGAAAATCTGTTGGGGGGTAATGGCTTAGTTAGAATATCAGCCAACTGATCTTGGGAGTTGACATGTAGAATGGAAATAGCTCCTTGTTGAATGTGCTGACTGATAAAGTGATAATCTATCTCAATATGCTTCGTGCGAGCATGAAAAACAGGATTATGGGCTAATGCAATCGCCGAAGTGTTATCACAATAGACTTGCGTAGGAGACGTTTGTGGCAAGGATAAGTCATCTAGTAGGCGACGTAACCATATGATATCCGAGGTAGCCGAGGAGAGTGCCCGATATTCTGCGTCGGTGGAAGACTTGGCAACGATTACTTGCTTTTTAACACACCAAGAGATAAGTGTAGGTCCAAGGAATGAACAGAAGCCAGTAACTGATTTACGGTCGATGATATTTGACGCCTAATCGGCATCAACAAATGTAGTAAGCTCCATATTACCTGGTTGAAGGGGAAGCCCATAACTCTTTGTGCCTTGAATGTAGCGCAGAATGCGTTTAAGAGCTAGAAAATCAGCATTTGTAGGAGCATGCATATGTTGACAGATTGAATTAACGGCGAAGGCAATATCAGGCCGAGTGATGGTAAGATAATTGAGAGAGCCGACAAGCCAGCGAAAAAGAGAAGCATCAGCAAACTGCTGATTTGCCGAATCTGAAGTTGAGGATTTGACTGTAATTGGTGTTGGCACAGAGGAGGAGTTTGGAAATCCAGCGGAAAGCAACAAATCCATTGCATATTTCGTCTGATGCAATATAAGTCCGGTTGGTGTCATGCGGACTTGAATGCCAAGAAAGGTGTCTACGGTACCAAGTTGCTTAAGAGAGTATGTAGTCTTCAACATGAGCAGTAGACGATCAATTGTTGGAGTATGATTGCCAGTCAATAGTAAGTCATCCACATAAATTAAAATATAGAGTTGTATTTGCTGTTGCCGAAATATAAGAAGTGATGGGTCGGCTTTGCTGAACACAAAGCCAAACTGAATTAAGGATTGTGTGAGCTTGATATACCACTGACGAGGAGCTTGTTTTAAACCATATAAAGCCTTATGAAGACGGCAAACATAATGTGGATGCTGAGTGTCGACAAACCCAGGTGGTTACTTCATATAAATCTCATCATGTAAATCACCATGTAGAAAGCATTAGAAATATCAAATTGAAGTGTTGGCCAATTATGGTGAAGAGCAAGTAGAAGCAATAATCGAATAGTTGGTAGCATGGCGACAGGACTGAAAGTCTCATTAAAATTAATTCCATGTTCCTGATTAAACCCTTGTGCAACCAACCTCGCTTTATAGCGATCTATTTGTCCGTCAGGTTTGGTTTTGAGTTTAAATATCCACTTGCATCCCAAGATGGGTTTGTCAGTTGGTGGAGATTGTAGACTCCATGTGCCTTGCTTCTGAAGAGCCAAAAATTCTTCGGACAT